CTCTCAGTAACGCTGTGGGTAGTGATGCCCCACAGCTTTGAGTGCTCATGTGATGATGTCCATTCATTCGACAAATATTTTTCTTCCATTGTAGATACCAGAGACACAGCTGTGAACAAGCAACCCTGAACTGCTTCCCCATGGAGGTTACATTTTAGTTAGGCAAGAAGTAATAAACAAATGAACCAGAAAATGCAGAGTATGACGCATGATGACAAGTGAGACGGGCAAAACAGAGCAGAGAAGAGGCACAGGAAATGGGAAGGGGGTGACTGGAATAAGGTGGTGATGGTACCCTAGGAGGGAGCTGATATCCCAGCAGAAACTGAGGAGGTTACCAGGAGAGCAGGCACACAAGTGAATGGCCATGTAAAGGGATTCCAGAAGGAAGGAGCAGCATGTGCAAAGGTCCTTCAAAGACGGGGCTAGAGTGTTGGAGGAACAGTAAAGAGTTCACTGAGGCTGAGGAAGAGGGAGAGAAGGGAAGAGTGGAAGGATGTGAGGTCAGAGAGGAGAGAGATGAGATCCAGGGCCTGTGGGATTTTGGCTTTCATTCAGGGATTCAGGGAAGCCTGGGAGGGTTCTGAGCAGGGCACTGACATGATCCGACTTGGATTTTAAAAGGTTCATTTTTGTTGCTGTGTGAAGCTTGGGTTGTGACAGGGAAGGGGTGGAAGGAGAGAATCCTGTTAAGAGGCTACAGTAATAACCCAGGTGAGAGATGATGGCGACTGTCAATGGAGTGAATGTGGGGGTGGGAAGAAACCATCAGATTAATGACATAATTTGAAGGTAAAGCTGATATCATTTTCTAATGGATTGAATGCAGGAAGTGAGAAAAAGAAACCAGTCATAGATGTTTGGCCTGAGAAGCTGGAAGGGTGAGTTAACATTTACTGACATGGGAAAGAATTGGGGAAGATGGAAAGTACCAATATGGGGATGCTTAGGTCAAGATACTTCTTAGATATTTGATAAAAGGAATGGAGCAAACTATTGATATACAAGTCTTGAGTTTAGGGGAGAGGTCTGGGATGGCAACATACAGTTGGTCATTGTTGGAAGATAAACAGGTGATATTTAATGCCGTGAGGCTGAATGAGACATGATAGCTAGGAAATGAGTGTAGATAAAAAAGAGTGCAAGGATCTATCCCTGAGCTCTCCAGTGTTAAGAAGGTGAGAAGATGAAGAGGAGACTCAGCAAGGATTCCAAGAAGTGGAATTCACCAAGTGAATTAAGGACAGAGCTAAACACGAATAGTGTCGCAGAAGCCAAGTGATGATAGTGGTTTACCAACAAGGGACAGTTGACTTCAGCAGCTAGATTCATGCTACAGACAGATCGAATGCAATGGCACTGGAGAACTGGCCACTGGGTGCAGTAACGTGGAGATCACGGGTGGTCTTGACAAGGGGTGCTTTGGTGCAGCAGTGGGAGCGAAAGCCTGACTGGAGAACATTCAAGAGAGAATGACAGGACAAGTACTGGGGACAACAGGGAGAGGCGACTCTTTTGCGGGAGTTTGCTAAAACTCCTCAAAAAGGAAATAACCTCAGCCTAGGAGAAATGGAAGAAGAAGGTGTTCATCTAGGTTCATATTTGTAGGAGATACTCCTGAAATTTCTGTAGGTGATATCCACCTAACTGGTTCAGTCCCCTTCGCCACCTCAATCTGCACCCTTCACTCTTGCAAAAAGCTGCATAGATGTCATTCCCATGAGAAAGGGAAAAAGCTGGATAAAAGCCAGTTGTGGTGGCACATGCCTGTAATACCAGCAGCTCAGGAGGCTGAGGCAGGAGGATCACGAGTTCACAGCCAGCCTCAGCAATGGTGAGGCGCTTAGCAACTCAGTGAGACCCTGTTTCTAAATAAAATGCAAAATAGGGCTGGGGATGTGGCTCAGTGGTCAAGTGCCCGAGTTCAATCTCTGGTATCAAAAAAGTGCTCAAAGAAGAGCCGTTATCTTTTTATTGGTGATCCATAAAATCAAGACAAAGTGTTTGGTCTCATGCATAAGCATGGAGCTACCAGCTAGGCTCCCCACTGCTGCAAAACCATCTCAGTTTAAGGATGAAAATATCATCTTGAACTGCATTAGCAAATAAGATTAGCCTCTCTATTTGAGGTTCTCTGTTATGTCTATATCTTCTCCATGAGAATTCTGAGGAATGTTACCACTTACTGACTATAATATAGTTCTACCATTATTTAAGTGAGGATGAAGTCAAGGCACTTTCTTTAGGAAGTTTCTTCTGTAGTGGAACCTTAGCTACCCAAACTAATCTAACCCTCCCTTCTAATGCACTGAGTAGCTCTCAACCATGTGCATCTCTAATTAAGAATCTCTGTACTACAGTACTTACTGTAACTATTTCTGTTGATAATAATCCCTTCAATTTCTTTGTGGCAGATTGTACTATTTGTTCACAATTATTTGTCCATGCTTCTTTATAGGGACAGTATACAATTGTTCCTCAATATCCAGGGGGAATTGGTTCTGGAACCTCTTGTAAATACCAAAATCCCAGGATACTCAGGGTTTAAAATATATATATATTTAAAAATATATATATATATGGCACAATGTTCGTATATAATCTATGCATCCTCCTGTATACTTTAAATCATATCATAGATTACTTATAATACCAAATAGAATGTAATTGTTCCACAAATAGTTGTTACACTAATGTTTATTGTTAAGGGAATAATGACAAGACAACAAGTCTGCACATGTTCAGGATAGACACATTTTTTAAGGTATTTTTGATCAACGGTTGGTTGTATCCTTAGGTATGGGATGGTGGATGTGGAGAGCTGACTATACTTCTTAGTTCCATTATATTGGGGATAATATGACCTGCTTTAGCCAATGCAGTGTGAGCAGCTGTGATATCAGCCACATGTGAGCATGAGTCTGAAATTCTTTGTGTGGTGTTGCTCTATGCCTCCTGTAGTGAGCATCTGTCTCTGTCCTGAGGACAACATGAGTTACATGGTGGCTTCTCTGGCCACCATTCTCTGTATTCTGGAATTAGATGACATGCAGAACCTGGTCCAGCCCAGAGCCCAGCTGAATTCAAAAGAACTGCAGCTGAACAACATCCTTGTGTACCATGAGCCAGGTATGAATGTCTGGTTGCAGGTCACTGAGAGTTTGAGATCATTTGTTCCCGCAGCAACAGCTGACTGGTGTTCTCTTATTAGACTCTCAAATTCCTCAGATGCAAGTCCACAGGTATCTTTATGGGATGCCCCAACACCCAACACGAGGCTGTGAAGCTGAAGGCCCCTAATAAGCACTTGCATAACAAGATAAGATTTATTATGTCCAGGATAGCTCCATTGTCTGAAGTTTGGGATTAATTCATAGTTCCTATTGCTGACACATTGGCGTATCATCATAAGCTCCTTAAAGTTATGTTCCAAGTCACTCTCACCCTCCCCTTGCACATCCTGATGTCAGTCTACTGAGTTATGGATGATTGACCAAGAAATCCAATCACTTAGACTTCAAGAAAGTAAAGTTGGGTGTTGGCCATCATATATATGTTCATATATATTGTTTCTGTTCCTAAGATGGTCATATCCAAGTAGAGAAAATCTACTATGATTGTTCTTGTGAGGCTTATCTCTATGTTGCTTTTGAACTTAAGATGATCCACAGTCTTTACCCAGGGAGTTCTACAATGAAAACAGTCAGCCTCCTGCTTTAATTATTCAGTAAATTTCCCTACCTTGCCTAGAGACCTATCTAGGCAAGACTGCAGCAATCAGAGACAATTTAAGGCATAATCCTGGGCTTCAAGGGGCCTTTAGTATAATTGAAGAGACAGAAGGTATGTGTAAAATGAAGACAATCAAGGATTGCATACCCCGTCATTCTTCACAGAAGGTACTGAAGTATGATAGGAAAATGAGTTGGGACTAGAAGTCAGGAGACGTGGTCTTGTCCTGGCTCAGCTGCTACTTAAAGTTATGGTAAGATTTTTTCACTATTCTAAGAATGTACAAAAAGGAATGGACAGGTTGATAAAGGGTCCTTCACATTTCTGTGGTGAAATTTCTACAACTATGAGATATCATCAAGCAGCACACATGTAACAGGTGCTCAGTGTGTGGCACAGGGAGGAAAGGTGGTTCCTTCAGGGGACCTCTTTGCTTTCCTGTTTCTTGCCCCCATCTCCAAGCTGGTCTGGTTCCAGCCCAAGCTTAGGTGTCTCCTGTGTCATGAGTCATGGCCTGAAGGTGCTGACCTGAAAGTGTAAAGTCTCAGAAAATAAGCCCAGAATACTTCCCGGGAGCACAGGGGCTGGGGTATACTGGAGCTGATTCAGGTCCCCAAAGTTGCACTTTGGGGTGCATCCATAGGGGATAGAAGGGAACTTGTCAATGTGGCCAACCTCTTGGTGGACAGTATTTTAAGAAGCTGAATACTCTTCTCGGGAAAAATTAGTTCTTACAATGACAGGATCCACAATGACAGCAGGCTCCTGAAGCCTGGTATGCCCGATTTGACATGAAAGAAGGAGGGGAAGACAGTGCTGGGAGAAATGGCAAGAGAGAGCTTTTAGAACACCCAGCAATGCTCTCCTGAGGTTCTCTGGAAAAATACAGAAAGTACAGATGATCTCATTGGCTGCAATAAATACCCCTCTCCTGGCTCCTCTGCAGCCAATATATTTAAATTCCCAGCTCAGGGCCTTGTGGGGTCTGCTCAGATGACCGTGGGGTTGTGCTCTGTGTCGGCAGTCTTCCTTTGGCTATGTGTCCATTGTGAACTTTTTCCCAGGTGTTTATAGGAGCTGGGACCACATGCATATCGAGGTACTTGCATCAGAACTTGGATTCTTTAAAACAAGGGACTCATTTGTAAGAACATCCTCCATTTATAGGAAATCAGGTTCCTTTGTGGAGTGCTCCTGGCAGTGCAGCAAAAGGAAGTGGAAGTTGGGTACAAGGTAACACAGTGAACAGGAATAACGGCTTTACTTACTTGGGACTCCAGACACCAGCCTCAGGGGACGCAGCACACGGAAAGCCCGCAGCGCCTTCACGTCAAATCCAGCCCCTTTCCCTCCGAGAGCATTGGCCCCATCTGCTTTGGTTGCTTGTTCTAAAATTGCACTAAAAAGCCTAGAGGAGAGGAAAGAGAGCAGAGCTGTCAGGACCAGGTTTCATTGACCTGCTGGGGCTCCAATCTCTGAACAAGCCGGGACTAGCAGGCCGTGCACACAGCTAGGTGTGTTCATGGGAAGGCCCATGGATGGCTGGAAGTTGGCATTCTCTCCAAGAGTGTCACCACAGCCTAGAGAGGGCGTAACAAGGTGAGGGACAGAACATTTGCCTTGAGAACACATCTGGCTTTGTTCAAGCTGGGAGTGCTGGACAGATGTGTAAGGCCGGTGACATTGGCTGTCTCTTCTGGGATGCCCTCTGCCCCCTCTACGACATCCTAGTTCCACCTCCCATGAGTGCCAACAGCCACATACCTTCCCTTCCCACCCCCTAGCTCCTGGAAACCCCCTCTCTTTGATTTATTTCTGGGTACAAATAAATAATTCCATAGGAATCTATTTTGTACTGGCACATAATGGTTGCTCAGGAGATATATGTTGATCGAATGGATACCTGAATGGTTAAATGAAAAATTTCAAGTGGGAACAATCCACACATAATGGAGACACAGAGAATTCCTTTCTAACGCTGTGTGTCTGTCCTTTACAGTTATTCCTCCAATAAATACGAACAACTACTATGTGACAGGCACCATTCTGTTGCAATAGCCCAGGTGGGACACGTTGGGGGCTTAGACCTGGCAGTGGTGTCAGAGGCAATGAGAAGGAGTTGAGTTCTATGTTCATTTTAAGATCAAGTAATGGGATTGGCTGTGAGGTGTGAGGAAAGAGAGGAATGAAAGATGATTCCAATATTTTTGTCTTGAGCAGGAAGGATTAGATATGGCAGAATGGATATCCAGGATTCTACTGCTAACTTGCTGATGCTTGAGCCATTGATTGGACATCTGAATGAGTACTGTGACTCGGGTTAATGTGTCCGAAGGTCCAGGCTGAAGAAAAAATTTGGTAGATATATGCATTGTATTTAAAGTCAAATCATATGATCACCTAGGAGGCTAGCGCAGAGGTGAAAGTGTAAAAGGACTGAGCTGTGGGGTCCTCCAAGACTGAAAGGTCAAAACAGGAGAAACCAACAAAAGAGACTGATGGGAGTGGCTTGCGGGATAGGAGAGTGGAGAGAATGGTGCCCACAAAGGAAGTGGTAGTGAGAAGGTGATGAGTACCTGCCTTAGTGCTGCAGATACCATCATGAGCAACTGGCCACTGGGTTAGTGAAATGAGGACCTCGGACATCTAGAAACATCTGTTTTAGCAGAGTGATGGGGTAAAAGGTTAATAGGTAAGTCCATGAGCAAATGGGGGAAGGTGGAAACAGTGAGAAGAGAGAGCCCCATCTAATAGAAATATAATGCAAGCCACAAATGGGAGCCTGTGTTTAATTTAGCTGTTCTAATAGCCACATTAAAAAAAGCAAAAAAAACAGGTGAAATGAACCGTGACAGTATAATTTATCTGGCCCAATATTATCATGTAAAAATGTAATAAATAAACATATCATTCTGTAAATATTTGCTATTCTTTGTTTTGTACTAAATATTTGAAATATGCTGTATGTTTTATACTTAAAGAATATTTCATATCAAATTAGCCACATCTCAAGTACAGAAAGGCCACCTGTGGCTACCATACAGACAATTCTTTTTTTAAAAAAAAAAGTTTCACATTTGTTCTTTTTAGATATACATGACAGCAGAGTGTATTTTGACATGTTGTATGTGCATGGAGTATAATTTATCCTAATTAGGATCCCATTCTTGTGATGTTGAATTACACTGGTAATGTATTCATATATGAAATAGGAAAGCTATGTTCAATTCATTTTACTGTCTTTCCTAATCTCATCCCCTCTCCCTTCCCTTCATTTTCCTTTGTCTAATCCTGGGAACTTCTACTCTCCCCACCCCATCATTGTGTGGCCTTTGTGTTTGGGGGATTGGCTTATTTCATTTAGCATGATAGTCTCTAGCTCCATCCATTTATCAGCAAATGCCATAATTTCATTCTTCTTTATGGCTGAGTAATATTCCTTGTGTATATATAATTATCAAGAATACAAATAACAATGAATATTGGTGAGGATGTGGGGAAAAGGTACACTCATACATTGCTGGTGGGACTGCAAATTGGTGCAACCACTCTGGAAAACAGTATGGAGATTCCTCAGAAAACTTGGAATGGAGCCACCATTTGATCTAGTATCCTACTCTTGGGTCTATAACCAAAGGACTTAAAATCAGCATACTACAGTGATACAACCACATGAATGTTTACAGCAATGGAACCAACGTAAATGAACTTCAACCAATGAATGGATAAAGAAAATGTGGTATATAGACAATTCTTTTTAGCATTTTTGCTATAAAAGTGGACAGAATATAAAAGGTGGTCACCACAAGTGGCTGTGGAGTCAAGAGGTTTTGATGGGAGATACCACAGCATTTTTATGCACCATGAGGAAAGTTGATGGTACAGAAGTGAGAGGAATGATTACTGGAAGGATTCATGTCCTTCAAGAGTCAGAAGGAAATCTATGGATGGGGAAGAGCGGTTGATCATGGGCCAGGTAGGAAGGCACATTGGAAGAGGACAGATGTGACTGTGGGAACATAAGAAAGTTTTCTCCTGCTTGTTTCTGTATTCTTAGGGAAGGAGGTACTAAAGTCATCAGCTGAAAATGTGAAAGGGGCGGGGGTACTGGGAGTTTGAAGAGAGAGGCAAAGATGGGAAATAATCAGGAGAGCAGAAAAGGGGGTAAGGTAGGGACATGTGGTTGGGTTGCTGGGTGTCACCAGGGGCTGGCTTGAGGTTGCTGGTCATGAGAGGGAAGCAAGACTTAGCTGACTTTTCTCAGCCCTTTCCAGGTACCACGTAGATCTCCATCTCATTGGACTTGATTAGGGATGGTGTTTTTCCAGGGGAGCAAAAAACCGAGTGTAAATGCCAGTGAGTGGTTGTAACAATGGAGTGTGGCATCTACACTGGTGGAAAGGACAAGAGAGGGAGGGGAACAGAGAGAATGTGGTGGGATGAGTGGATTGACGGAGTCGGGGTGTAAGAGAGCATGCTGACAAAGTAGGCGGTGCTGGTGAGAGTAGGATGCTGGATTTGAGCTAATGGGGAGGGTGCAGTTATCAGTTATGGCAGGGGGACTGGCTATAACCCTGCGAATGGGCAGCTGAGATAGGATGGAGGTCAGAATCCCCAGAGAAGGCAGCAAGGAACAAGAGGGCAAGATGGCAGAGTAGTGAGTGTTGGAGAGAGCTGGAGTGAGCCCAGAGTGAACGTCCTCCAGGTGCATGGAAGAGTGACTCAAAGGTATGCAATAAGGAGTAGGAAGCACAGGGTCTGATGACAGAATAGCCACACTGGAGGGTTTCAGGAAGGGGGAACGGGGGAGGTCTGAAAACAGAAAGGAAGAGAAGGCAGGGCCCCTCCCACTCTCCACCTCCACTGGAATGAGGCATCTGGAAGAGAGTGGCGCTACCCCCTGAGAGGGTGCAGGGAAGCAGCATGCTTGGGGGAGAGCCAGAAAGGGAAGGTAGTGACCAGAAACACAGCTGAGGATGTAGGGCAGGATTGTGGCCACCTGCCCGCAAAGTTTCACTGGGCTTCAGTTACACCCACTCATTTCCATACTGCTCTTTTCCTCTACAGCCACAGACTCTTGACCAGGGGCTGCATGGGTCACAAAGCTGAAGACAGCATCTGGCCCTTTACAGACAAGCTGCCCTGAATAGATGATGACTATGGGGACCAGAGGGCACGCTGCAAAGGGTTCAGGAGTGAGGTGGCGAGAGGGAAGGTTAGACCCCAGGTTCACATAATCAGATGGGAAAGGGACTCAATGTGATGAAGGATGACCCGGGCATTCTGGGCTTTGGGTGGTAACCAAGAAAAATAGGGAAAAGGGCAGCATCAGCAATTTCTGTCCTTTATGCCTAGAAATGACTCAATAAGTCATTGTCAGAATGTGTCCTGGGTTGTTTCTGCATTAGGGGGGCCTGTGGCCAACAAGGAAGCCCAGGTCTTAGAACAGGGCCCGCCATAGCACATCTGAACAACGGCCTGGGGCAACTTTGCTTCTTGAGCTCCTGCTCCAGGAAACTGGGCCTATGAACAGGGTCCAGGTGCAGCTGAAGGCTGGACTGGCAGAAGTCAGAGCCAGGCACTGCCAGGCAATGCTGGGGTGGTTTAGAGTACGGCTTTAAGGGACTTCTTGGGCAGTGAGGTCAGAATTGAATGTCCGGGGTTCTAGTACCACTATCCCAGACTTAACAGTGGCTTCCTTTCTGTCCCCCCCCCCCCCCAGTGCTAGGAATCAAACCAGGGCCTTGAGCTTATTAGAGAAGGACTCTGCCACTGGGCTGTGTCCCTAGCCCCCTTTTATCTGTTTTATGTACTTGGCCTGAGTGAAACTTTGAACAATGTGTTTTGCACCTAAAAGAAGTTTTGCCTGGCATGCACAGGCTCTGAGTTCAGTCCCCAGCATCACCAGAGAGAAGGGGAAATACAGGCTGGGGATGTAGATCGGTGGTAGAGCACTTGTCTAGCATATGTAAAGCCCTGAGTTCAATCCCCAGCACTGAGAAAAATAAAGTTACGAAAATCATAGCCAGACCACATCTAAAGTGTCTCTCTCTCTCTCTCTCTCTGTTTTTTCTTTTTCTTTTTGGTACCAGGGATTGAACTCAGGGGCACTCAACCACTGAGCCACATCCCCAGCCCTATTTTGTATTTTATTTAGAGACAGGGTCTCACTGAGGTGCTTTAGCACCTCGCCATCGCTGAGGCTGACTTTAAACTTGTGATCCTCCTATCTCAGCCTCCTGAGCTGCTGGAAATATAAGCATGCACCAACACACCCAGCTCTCAAGTCTCTTAACTCTTTGATTCTGTGACTTAGTTTGGCAATGTGATGGTTTCCTATGTTAGTTGGATTCCTATGTCTTGAGTTCCAGGCAAAAGTTGCCAAGGATCAGGGGAGTGGATTCCTTTCTCTACAAGGGAAGTGTTCTTTCCACTGAAATCTAGATCACTAAAACCTGAGGAAATGGAGACCAGCTTGCAAGCTGGTCAAACAACATTCCAAATCCAAACCAGATTTTGTTCCCAGTATTTCCTGGAAGAAAGCAATATGCTTATTGGAATACAAGATGTTCACAAAATATTATTCAGTGAAGGAAGCAGAAATGAGACAGCTTTCTTCTCTATTAACCCCTACCCCAGCTTGAAACTCTTTCATTAAGTGTTGTCTTTTAATTTTGAAGGATAGATAATTTAGAAATGGGTACAGGAAGTGTTTTGGTGGGGACTGCTGGGTGAGCTTCTCCTCAGTTAGATGTTGTAAGGGCAAAACCACTGCTTTGTGCCTGCTGGACCTGGGGTGGGTCCTGATGTGGATGCTTGGCTGGGGGTTTCTCGGGAGGTGATGGGCAGTTCTGCAACCAGCTGCTGGAACTTTAAGAGAGGAGGACAAGGAGGCTCCATAGGACCCAAAGAATCAGAAAGGCAAGGCCATGCTGTGAGGGAGACAGGGATGTAACTAAAGGCTTTGTGGTGGGGTAGGATCTCCTGAGTGAGGGACCTACTGAGGAGTCCTTGGTTCTTGAGTTCAGGGCAGGTAGATTACAGAGGCCCTCTAAGTCCCCTCCACATTCACTCATTGGTCCCATCTCCCCACTGCACCAAGGAGACTCCCCGGCTTTGGGCAGGAAATGACTCCTGTGACATGCCCCCAGAATGGGAACGTAGAGACAAGAGGGATATACCCCAAGGCAGACTGACAGCCCTGAACTCTTCTCTGATTTATAGGAGGCTAGAAGAAACCTTCGGTTAACTAGCTACAGAGGGAGGGGGCCCAGGAGAGCAGAGATTTCCCAAGAGACTCAGGAAAGCAGAGGGAGGTTCATTTAATACTGTAAAGGGGGCAGGAAAAAAGTCACGTCTGGAGAGAAGGGGTGAGCTACACCCTCTGGGGATGGAGGATCATTTTTCTAGTTGGAAGGATGAGCTGAGATTTAGACTGGGTGGAGAGCACCTAGGACCAAGGCTCCTGGAAAAGATAAACTAGTTGCTAAATATGGCCAAGTGTGAGATGAAGGGAGAAAACACCCCAAAGGTCATGGTGAACTACAAGCTGAGCAAGTGTTGGCCTCATAACCTCTGTGGTTTAAAACATTAAACACAGGCATCTTTCAGAAGAGAGCCAAATCTGGATGCCTCCCTCTCTCCATCAGCCTCATGGCCAAAACCCCAGGGAGAAGTGACTAGTCTCTGGACCAGTCCAATGAAAAGTGTGCCTCCTGTTGAGGTGGGGAGGACCAACAATCTAAGGGATGAAGAAAGGGCCAAATAAAACTGCAAACATGCAGTGTAGGCCAGCCATGCATGTTCTCCTGAGCGGGAAAGCATGGTCCTGCCTTTCCAGGACTCCTATTTGAGGTCTCCCCTTTTTTTTGGTCTCCTTTTCTCAAGCTTCAGGTAAGTAAGGTCATGAATGGGGCAGGGTATATCTAGTCAAATTCAGCCCTTTTCATAAACACGGAGCATCTCTGCCTAAAAACTTGTCCTGCAAGTCAACCCATCTCTCCACTGGTCCCAGAAGCGTCAACTCTCATTCCTGAGGCTTCTGTCTTTGCATGTGTCACAGGTTACCAGGAGACTGAGGCCTTGAGAAAGAGGCTGAATTTAAAAAGGATTTAGGGGTTCAGGGAACAACCCACCTTTAGGACTTTTGCTAGGGTTTATTTGCTGAGTTCATTCAAGACTTTTCTTTAGCCACTCTGTTTATTCTGGCATGAACAGCAGTGGCAAAACCTCTCATGTAACTGTGTCCTTACTCCGGGTCCCTGCAGCCAGACCTATTAATGGCTAATAACTTTAGTACTCCTCGTGACACCCAAATACCCCTGATGTTCATGTGGCCAAAATGCGTCATTCATTGGCCAGGCAACATGAGACAACACAGGAAAAAGCCTAACACGTTCCAAACAACTATTATGAGCCAGCCAGATGGCCAAGGACAAGGAAATAACTTGTAAATAATCTTGATTTGCTCCTGTGTTATTTCCTGCCGTAAAGACCAGGCGCTCCCCCAAGATAATGAATGGTGAGTGCTCTGTTGAAGCCCGCAGTGGCTCAGGTGTGTACTGGGATAGCACAAAGGGAGTCACCAAAAATAGCCTCCTGGTATAACAGCCTCCTGACATCCTGCTCTTCATACTGAATCCTGTGGGGACCCGGAATCATGCAGGTGGCCACCATGGAAGCATTTGCCAGGTGCCAAGTAACACAAGGTCAGCTTGGAAGAGCGAGCTTGTTGTTGAAGAGAAGCTGCTGGACAGGTGGCCCCCGTTATCAACAAAACACAGGAGTCATTGGAACTTCATCCACTGTGTCCTAAGGTACTCCATTTCATACAGTGCACGCAGGCCTGTGAGGTACAAATATGTCATCGAGAATCTTGAAAGGAAATTTCTTGATAAGGAAATTGTCACTTCCAAAATGGGACAAAATGGGATTCTTTTTTTTTTTTAAGCTACTATCAATTGTGCCTCATCCTAACATGGAACAGTATCTGGAGGAAGGTACCTCAGCTCAGGCCGGGTGGAGTTACCCACCACCTCGGCCTTTCAGAGTTCTGTTTCTTTCTCACTCGGTTGTCTCAAGCAATCTGGTTTCTTGGGGCCACAGAGCAGGGCCCACTGTGGAGCTGGGGACAGGATGGTATACATGAGCAATCTGTGGACCAAAGGCATAGCCTCGGCAGGCGTCCCCACATCATGCCACACGGGTGGGCTGGATACTCCCAGGCAACCTGACTAAATCTGCTCAGTGATACAGTGGGAAAGCTGGTCAGAAGAACTGCTGGCTCAGATGTGGTTGGAGGGGGAGAGAAAAGTCGTTAAGCAGAGGAACTGCTTCATCTGCACAGAGGAGCCTGGTGCCATTAAGAGCACACAAATTCAAGTGTGCGTATGTGTGTGTTTGTGTACATATCTGTGTGCATGCATGTGTGCATGTGTGTATATATCTGCCTGTGTGTGTGTGTGTGTGTGTGCATGCTGATGCATGTGGGAGTGGTGCTGTTAGGTAATAGCTCTTCTCCCTTCAGAAAAAGTCTGAACTCAAAGTGATTGTTAACATCCTTTCATTGCCTGAAGGCTAGTACAGTTTTGACCAAATCAAAAAGAGATACGAGGAGAGGGAGAAAGAGGTGTGCATGGGTAAGGCAAGGAAAGGAGAAAGACAGATGTACTTACCCTACAACCACAATTATAAAATCTAGTAAATTCCAACCGTTGCGGAGGTAAGCGTTGGGGTGAAAGAGAAGACCATAGGCGATTACTTTTAAAAATGCTTCCACAGTAAAAATTATGAGAAAGAGATATTCCACTCGTTCCTAGGAAACAAAAACAGAAAAAAAGAGAAAAAATAAATCATTAGATTAGGGATGTGGAAAGTTCTGAACCAGCAGGGTCGTAGGGTCAAGTAACACATGATGGCACGTCAGTCATCCACAGACTGCAAATACAATGGAAATTCCACAAGACTTTATCACTTAGTGACATCATAGCTATCTTAGTTTGTGTAAGTACACTCCATGATGTCACTGAAATCACCTAATGTCACATTTCTCAGAATGTAATCCCATTGTTAAGAACACACAACAAGGGCTGTGGCTCAGTGGCAGAGCATTTGCCTAGCACATGCAAGGCACTGGGTTTCATCCTTATCGCCACGTAAAAAAATTAACACATAGAATATAGGCATGCAGTCCAGCTCCAACTATAAACAAACAAACAAAGAACACATGATGGCAGATGGAAGAGAAGGCTTCCTCCTCTGTGGTAGACATAAGGAATACTAAGGAGTGGACCTCCAAATCAGGAAACCCACAACTTCTTCAACCATAAGAGCTCCAATCCACTACGGATTAAAGGGCGTGTGTGTGTGTGTGTATGTGTGTGTGTGTGTGTTCAAAGTTCTCTGTTAAATTATAAATATTAGGGTGGTATACAAATTCACATTGTTTTCTAAACATTGTATTAAACCAATTAACATTTTATTGTACCCTCTTTGAAGAAAAGTCAAAATGTCTTGATCTAAAGGGAAAAAACACCAAGAGAGAGGAGAAGGATGCCGAGAAAAGGGCTGGAGCAGAACCCCTTGATTTTCAAATGCCTCGATTCTGCAGTGAAAAATAGTGAAGGTCACAGACACGGTTCTGGGAGGGTACCAGCTGAGTACCCTCCATAACAGCCGCAATACAGCCAGCCACAAAGAAATCAAGACACTGAAGGTCTCATCACAGCAGCCAGAAGACAACCTGCTCATATACATGGATACAGAAATTTGAGATCTCTTCCGTGAGCAGATGAGACTCTGCCCAGAGACACAGACCAGGTCTGCAGAAGAAACCAGCCATCTGAGAGTGGAAGCAGTCGCCAGGGTGGGTGATGAATAGAAAAGGCCAGCTCTTTTCTCAAGGAGCAGAGGGTTATCTTTTCTCTCCCTGCTACCTTGAAGAAGGGCTTTGCATTTAATGATGCAGTTCCTGTCCCTGGGCGCCACAGTCCACAGGGCAAACTCATTGACTCAATTAGAGCGAGCCGACTCCCTGTGCTGATTCCCTCACTTCCCTCACCATTAATTGCTCCCTTCTCCTCAGCCCCCAGCACAGAGCCTTAATGGCCCCCACCAGGCAAAGGCTGCCTGGATGCCTTCATGCTCCACTGCTCTTCTCTGCAAGAGCTTCAGCCCCAATCTCACTGGAGCCACCAAATACTTGTCCATGTGCATTCAGGTGCAGGTTTTCCAAAGCAGGGCTTGCCCATCCACTGTCCCCAGGAGACACTAAACTCGGAATCACCACGCCCCCCTCTTCTGCCAGGTCAGAGGGACCTCACTAAAGACGTCCAGGTCCATGCACATTCTGGAAAGGGGCATTGCCTGCAAAGGCCCACCTCTCCTGCCAAGCTGGCTGGCAGGGTGCTCTAAATCTGGGGCACTTGGGAGTCTGATGGGTAATTCTGCAGGGACAGGTACCCTCTGCCCCAGTCACTCTTTCTCATCTCCTAGACATTTAATGAGCTCTGGCCTCACTGTGCCCAGCTCTGAATGATGCAATTTGAAGACGCTACACTAAAAACTGCAGACTTCTGGGCCCCATCCAGACCTAATAAATAGATCTCCTGGCCATGAAGCATAGCAATATGTATTATAGACGATTCCAGGTGTTTCTGAGGCAACTCAAAATCTGAGGGAAGCCACCAGCACAGGTGCTGACAAAGGCCTCCATCAGGCAGTATCAGGAAAGGAGCGGAGGGTTCAGATTCAATCATCATCTAGAAGACTCATCTTTTACTCCTCCCCTTTTAGTACCCTACAGTTGGTCTGCGGATGTAGCTGCCTTGGTGGTTGTGACCCAGGAACAATCTATGATGTGTGGAAGCATCAGCCTTTTCAAATTAGGTGATACTGTGTTAGAGCATACATTAGGCCATGTTAACAGGGAAGACATCTTACAGAAGGGCGGCTGCAAGCTGAGGATACTTGTAGAAGGCGAGAGAGGGAGGAGCTATCAAACAGCCACTCAGCCCCAGTCGTCTTGCCCCCACCCCCATGAGCGAGCCGACTCCCTGTGCTGTCCACCCATCCACCCATCCACCTACCCATTCACCCACCCACCCACCCATTCATCCATCCATCTAATCATTCACCAATCCACTCATCCATCCATCTACTCCGTTTTTCAAGACCAGGATGGTACAACTAAGTGAATTGTCAGAAAGTGACATGGAGTTCTCTTTGGGTGGCCTAGAAATGAACTTTTTGGGAGAGACAGCACCCAAGCTCAGAGTCCTTCCTCCCCCTCCAGGAGAACACCAATATTCCAAAGACTCCAAGGGCCCTAGATGCTAGGAAGCTGGCATTCCCAGACAACTTCCTATAAACAGCTGGCACCCCCAATCCAGACTGCCCGGCACCAAGCATTCTGTTTATTCCCTCATTGACAAGACTACTTTCCCTTGCTTATGTGTCCTTTAAAAAGATAGCACCGTAGGGGAGGAGGGGGCCCTCCACTGGGATGCAGACTCAGCAGCATCCTGGACTTGCCACATAACTTTGTGAGATACGGGGATTGGGGGATATGTGACTTCTCTTAATTAATTTTGGCCTACATAAGTTTTCCCAATGAAGACTGTTCCTTACTCCATGCCATGTGACATCTGTTCCACACCCTGGTAAATAACACATAGTGATCCAGAAGGATCCACCCCACACATCAGTGAATCACTCAATCAAAAATTCACTCAAACATTCACAAATGTGCTTATGTATGTTGCTGGGTGCTGGAGAGCTGAGATAAAGAGCTCAGAAACTGGGTGGAGAGGAGCCTCAGTCCAGGAGGACAATGCCTTCCAAAGGCTCATGGAGCTCGACATGGATGAGCATGCACTGTCTTAGCTTTCCATTTATCCTCCCATGCACACATGTCCCACCTGGTCAACTGTTTACAAGCTCCTAGGGGACAGAGATTTTGATGGACAATGTTTTGATGGTAATACTCAATAATCTTAATTCACCACCAACTGGTATGTGTGGCTTAGGCCAAGTCACTTTATTTTTCTGGGTCTGTTTCCTCATATGTACACAAAATTTTTAAAATTACATATCTGTGTGTACACACACACACACACGCGCGCGAACACTCACAGACCTAGGCTCCTAGCATGTTTTTGGAACAGGTGAGGGGAAGGCTGAAAAAATAGGGCTTTGACGCCTCATCCCTTCTTGAGCCAGAGCATTGCCACGTTAACCCACATTGGGTTGAGTTGTCCAGGAGTCCTAACCAGCTGAATAGAGTCCAGAGAGCTAATATGATGGAATATGAACATAGAATACACACACACACACACACACACAAAAGCAGTGGCTGCCTTTACCAACCACTCTGGAAGACTTTTGTTAACTTTACCTGCTGGATTCTGCATACAATTTTACTCGAGAAGAGGGATCACTGCTTTTGTAGTTTTTCTGATAACTTGGAACAACAAAGTGATCCAACTTATAGATGACTTCTGAAACCTCTGAAATGCTTTGGCAAGTGAGGATGCTGCTCACCAGCCTGTGTGCAGATGTGGCAAAGGTACAGCTAGATCCCAGGACATGGAATGGAGCTAAGAGCTCTTTCTCACTTTCTCTCCCTCTTGTTCTGGGACTCACCATAAGTGCAAATAAACATTATAATAAAAATACCCATCATCTAAAAATTATTAATAATTGTGCTTTAGGGGAACACAAATTCCTTATGAGCAGAAGTTAGGTTAGGCTAGATCTTTTAGGACAAGGACAACCAGGGAGGGACTGATGTGTCTCTCCATATGGGTGTGTTTCTGCAGCACAGCTACAAATACTGTAAAGCTGTGAAATGCCCACCTTCCTGTGCTGAGCACTACAGGCTTTAGGCTTGCTCTGTGAAAGAGCCAAGGTGTGAGAATTCATACCCAGAGAGCCTGTGTACCTACTTGAATTTATGTATTTATTGAGGCTACCAAGAATTCTACATCAAACAGAATTGATGAGAAGCTCATTTACACGATTTTATCGAGGTACAAGGGAAAAGACAATAGACACAATAACAATACTTCACACAGCACATTGTTTTCCAGATTGCTTCATAACGTAAGTACTGTTCAACCTGACCTCTAACTACAGTCTCCAGTCTCTTCTCCAGCTAAGAGACCTTAGCTCCTCGCTCTCCGGTCCTCTCGTGCATTCATCCTGCATCACAAATACTTCCTGAGAGTCTGCTCAGCCCCAGGCCACATTGCAGCAGTGCTCTCTCAGGAGACTGACAGATGTGTAGAATGTTCAATGCTGTAAAATCAGAGACACACAACCCCACCTCCTCATTGTGCAGAAGATAGGGGCTGCACCTCTTGCCCAGGGCATGGGCACCTAGGTTTCTTAATGACAGATCTGGTGTGTCTTTTGCTACAGTGCAGCTGTCCCTGTCTATGGACTGAGGAAGCTCTGGGTTAAGGTTTTCAATAGACATCACTAGATAGGGCATCCCACCCTTGGGGTCTCCACTGGTACTTGAGACTCAGCCAGGAAGCAGACTTCCATCTACCAAGCAATGGATAAACTAAATAGGGAATATACACACAAAGGAATATTATTTAACCTTAAAAAGGAATGACTTTCCCACACATGCTATGACATAAAGGAACCATGGAAACATCATGCTAAGTGGAAGAAGTCAGTCGCAAAAGAACAAATACTGTATGACTCCCCTTGTATAAAATACCTAGAATACATAAATTCAAAGAGACAGAAAGTAGAAAAGAGGTCACTAGGAGCTAGGAGGAGGGAGGAATGGGAAGACACTGCTTA